ATCCGCCAATGATTTTTACCACTTAAAACGTGCCACGCATGTCAAGATTCTTAAATCACTCGTCAGCAGGCAATTATTACAGAAACAAAAAATACGTTCCCAGTTCGCGTCACAAATTTTTCTGATTTTCATAAGATATCGAACTCTTAACGCCTCCTAGTGAGTTGTAGTCTACTGTTTTGGTTTGCGCATCAGTGAAGTGAGTAAAAAAAAAACATGAGAAATAATTGTATGGGAGACATATCTGGTGTCAGTGCGGGACGCCTGTGAGGGATTGTTCATGAGAAATGCTCTGGAAGGTTGTCTTGCAGATGTATTTTGACTTGTCTGCCGAAATGTGCGGGATCTATTTTTTGCCTCAATGCAGTGTTTGAGTCGATTTCAGTAAGATGAATAAAAAGTCCTAGTCCTGTCGGTTGGTCGGGGTGCCTGAGGCCCTTTACTCCTTCATCATGAGATGCGGATCCTTGTGGTGTTTCCTTGAGGTCCTTGTTATCTAAAATTGAAAGTAAAGAATTAGTAATGAGCAAATTGCTCAAGTAAAATCATATAAAGTGATACATGTTGTAAGACATACATAAAATACAATAAAATACAAGTACATAAAATATAATAAAAGGTACATGAAAATAAGAATAAGATAAATAAGTAATAAAAATTAAACTTCTAGTGAGAAGTTTGTCAAAAATTGTACGTCCCTGTTACAAATTATCTACCACTCTTCTCATCCTTATCTTTCTCACCAAAATCACAATTTTCATTCATCTTATTGCCCCTTTTTATAATCAAAACATATTGATTTCGTCAACGCATCGTAACATTTACAAGTCTTATCCGTGTTGAGATGTAATTTATATAATAGTGCCATTTATAAAATAATATAGATATATATCTATTAATAGAGCCAATTCTTAAAAACAAGTCGAAATTGTTTTGTCAATGCATATATACAATATTTACATGTCATATCCGAGTTAAATTGCCATTTATAATATTTTATTTGTGCCATAAATAATGCCATTGAGTTTATCTCACAGAGTTACATCCTTGTAAAAAAGTGAGCAACTGGCCTCAGGGAGGCGTCCTCAGCTAAATTTTCGAACTCAAAAATAGAGTCGAAATTCGCTGCATTGTGAATAAAAAAAAATCTTAGCTCATGTTTTTATAGAAACGCCCTCTGTCGGTTACGTTTGCGATTCCATGTTCCTATATGATTCGTGTGCATTTTTTGCCCTTTCGTTTTAGCCATGTTACTTTTACTCTCCTTGTTCAGTCATTTCAGTTTAATTCTACGAATGTCAGTGAAAATAATTTGATTCAGTCATTTCAGTTTAATTCTACGAATGTCAGTGAAAATAATTTGGTTCAGTCATTTCAGTTTAAATTTACAAATATTAATGAAAATAATTGGTTTTTGTAGAAATAAAATGTGTGAAAATATTCAGAAAGAGCTTATAAATGTATTTTGATATAAATAATTTATTATTTCTTCGCTGAATAAAAGTATTCTCTAAATAATATTTTAACGAGTGAAATAATTTCTTTTCAAGTTTGCAGGAGCTCCGAATTTTTCCCCTTGTTTAATTAGACAAACAAATCCTCATTTAACGAGCGACATTTCATAGAATAATAAATTACTTTTTCTGAACCAGTCATTCATAAAGTTTTAACACTTAAATGAATGAGACGAGATGAATTGTGATTAAGTTTATTGCCGTGAGCGTTAAAACTGAAATTAACAAAATAAGTTATTTCGAAAGAATAAAAAAAACACAATGCGAAATATCATTATTAGCGTTACAATTTATGATGGTTGATGATGATTAAGAGGTAGAAATGGCGTTTTTTTTTATATTAGTAGCGGATAAAAAATGAAACAGCTTGGATTAATAATTTTATTTTCATTCCAGCTCTAAAAAAAACTTTTGTTGGTATTTTAAAGCGTTTAGTTTGTATTGGTTAATTAGCTAGCCTTAAACCTTTCAAAAATAACTTGATTTCAAACCTTTAAAAAAATAACATGATTTCAAATGAAAAAGAAATATTGATTTTGCTCTTGTAATTTGAGAGAGATGGCAACCACTGAATTTTTTTATTTTAAATTTTATTGTTTTGCAGTTATTTGAAACTCAACCTAATTGAATATACTACAAACTGAAGGGTTGTCTGAAAAATCAATTACAGGAACAGAGAAGGTTGTAGAACGATATACGATTTGATACATTCTGTTTCTGAAACGGGGTTGTTTATTATCGCAGAATTTTTATTTAGTTACAAAATTCGTTAACACAGGGTATTTCTGACTAGAAACGATAAAAACAATATGGCATCTGATATTTTTCCATATAATTCCAAATGCAATATTTGCAAGCGCTTAAGCTACTTTTGTTCTCATGCTGCACCACGCTGTTGCTGTAAATAGTGATTAATTTGAGAATAAAATGTTACAGTTTTACCTTGTTCGTATCGCCATCTATGGATGAAATTGGTAACTAATTTTGAAAGTTGATTGAAATAAATAACTTAGTTTCCTGTGAGGAAAGTAGAAAATCTCGTTTTTCTGTCTTCTTTCCATATTTCTTTAATTAGTTAAAGTTCTTCAAATTGGGAACAATCAGTGCGTTTATAGCATCACTAACATGAATACAATCGATTTGATTTAATTTTAAAAAATGCAGTTCGTTTTTTTTTTTGCATTAAACTTTTAAAACCGAACTATATAAAATAATTCTACTTGAAAAGGATAGGTGCGTGAATTTTCAATCGGTCTTAACTTTCTACACCGTTTTAAACGTAAGAATGTTTTTGTCAGTATTTAGTCAATGCTAGCGAGCAGTCTATTGTGAATCCAACGGTATAAATGGTATTCTATGTGTTAAGTGTTGCTTATTTTATATTGTAATGTAGTTTGCATTTAGAAATAGACCTAAATGTAATAGTATTATGGTAAAATTGTTAACAATGCGTAATAATTTGACAATTTTTTTAAATAAGTAAATAATAAAAAAAATAGTAAATAAGAATAATAGCAAAATGCATTAATAAATTTTCAACAAAAAAATGGTTTAAAATTACAACTTTTTAGAAAATTTAAATTGTATACTAACAGTTTTTTTACTATCAACTGGTCAAATTAGAGTGTCAAATATTTCAATACTTAAAACATTCTAATTATGCTTTTTAATTATAATTCATAAACTCCTATTATGAATAATTCTTTAACATTTTAAACATTTAAACTACACTTTGTTTCAATACACCTCATAATTTCTTTGGTATAAAATGTTCTAAACACTATTTTTACAGCTTTTTTGAACAGTCGCCGTGTCATTTTTGTTTGGATACTTATTGCATATAAATTTTGAGTGTTTAGATACAACTCATAATTCCCTATGATATAAGACATTATAATACTTTTAACATTTAAATTGTGCTTTTTAGGTATTATTAATAAACCCCTATTATGTAAAATATATTAATCATTCAAACTTACTTCGTTCGAACATATCTCATAAATTCCCTTTGGTATTTTATACGCATATTCAAAAATTAGGCATAATAAGTATAATTAGATTATTAAAGTTTGCTTAGTAATTTACGTTAATTAAATTAATCATACGATTAAAAAATGTAAGTACGATACAATTACGTTTTTTTCCCTGGGCTGCGTAAAGAGTTAATTTATGTATACCTACATATATGTATAAGCATTTTCCGAGCCATTTATTTTTGTATTTGTTAATGAGAAAAATACACTTTGACGTTCTTTTAATTATTCAGAATAAAAACACATTAAAAAGGATAAAAGAAGCGTTCTTTTTTAACATAACCAGTGAACAGTGTTGATGTTTTTTTCTTCTGTGGGAACAAACCTCTGACGTATTTGTTCCTTCCTCCATTAGCGCTGACTTTAATTAAACAGTACGAATCGAAACAAGCCGTCATACTTTTTTTTTCCTGGCAAAAACCGCCTGAATCTAACTTTTTTTTTTCCTTGCTAAAAAAGTGGCGTCGGTGTTTGTTTAACAATAAAATTAAAAGATATTTTTGCCGAAACAGAATTATCTTTGAGATTAAACTTTTGTTTTTATATAAAGAAAGATGTTTTTCAACAACAGTGTATAATTAATGCTATTCTTTGTAAATATATAATGTAATATGAAATTTTTGAAATATAAATTTGATGTATCGATGCATTTGAAATGGAACAGCAAATATTATCCTTTCTCTTTGTAAATAATATTTTGAATAAATGTTGATTTTTTAGATATAAAACCTGTTACCTTAATTGAATATATTACCCGATGTTTGTTTTGCTTTGAGTTTTTTTTTTCGCTTTCCTTTCATCATATATTTATGGTAAATAAATCTATGAATAATAAGCTTGGTATAAATGTTTAATTATTGTAATAATGTCTGTGAAATGTTATTTACTTATTAAATGTAGCTTCGTTAATTTGAATTACATAATCGAACTAACAAGTAAAAAAAGATGAACACCACTTTCACACACTCGTGGAAACTATATTCATAAATTCGAGTAAAACCAGGTCCCATCTTCTAATAAAATGCTAAATGATTTTTTCTTGTGTTAATTAAATTGTTGTTAATAACAATTATAATAACTAATAAGAAAGCAAGCAAAAAGAAGGCTGTGCAACGTCGTTTCAAGAGTTAGCGATATTTATATGTGTTCGCTTTGGGAGCTTGGCATCCATTTGGCGTGCACTTACATGCAAACAGGCCCTCTTCATAGGGATAATGGTTTTTTCTTAACTTGCAACAGAGTATAGGAACTGTATTTTACAATCAACTCAAGTGGCGTTAACATTCGAGATATGGAGAAACGTAAATGGTTGCGAAATTTTTCTAGTGTTTTTAAACATTTTTAATAACCTTTGTGCCGCATTTAGTAGGCTACATTTTTGTGAAAAATCTATAATTCATAACTTAGGTAGACATTTACGATATTGTCACTGAACTATTTTTTCTTGTTCCAGCTCTTTTAATTGCCTCTGGGTGTTGTATTTACCCTAACGGATGGTCAAGTCGTGAAGTTCGAGATGTTTGTGGGCCTGACTCAGAAGCATATAAGCTTGGTAAGTGGTATTATTCACCGTTCCAATTTCTTTTTGCCATTTATTTCCCGCATACAAAGCATAATAAGTACATTTTACGCTCACCACAGATTGACATGACCTTGCATTATCTTAATATTCTTAGAGATAGTTATACATTAGCAGTTAAACTTTATATGACACTACTCTTAAATGTTAGACATTATTGCCCACTAGCTATTTTTTTCCTTTTTTGGAATGTATGTTGCTTCTAATCGTCTGCATGAATAAATTACTAATTGTCTCAAAATGAATTCACAATTAAATGTTCTTAAACAAATTGCATAATATCATTTTTTTTCTAATTTTATCACATGATAAAACAGTGTCTAAACATAATAAAATCTACCCGGTTGTGAAATAAGTGTTTAAAATACATAATGCCACATTTTAGTTTCATTTGTCAAATTAAAAAAGTTTTTTTGACCTTGTAGTTCGAAAAATTTAAACCAAAAATTTAACTTTATTACTTTTTGTTTATATTTGTTACATAAATCGTATCATTGTTATGCGTCTAATTTAAAGGTGCAGAATGCACTGAGTACAATACAAGAAAAGTAAAGTTCAATTCGAACCTCTGGTTGACCTCTGGAAAGTGATAATACCATTAACTTGCATTAAGTTAAATCTTAAGTAGCAATTTATTAGATCTTAGATAAGTGGGCTTTTATTAAATATTTACTAACTTTTTGGATCCTAAACTAAAAATTAAAAAAAAAAACTTAAATTATCTGCCGTAAACGTCTAAGTCGGAAAATTTAATAAACTTATATAAACTCTGAAATTTATATAAAGCATTCCCTAAGACAGAGAATCGTCAAGCCTGTAAAAAAAAGAATAGAATAAAGTATTTGCATGCTTATATGTTGGCAATACTCTATAAAATTATTTGCACTTTTACACAATTAAATGACCTAAAATTTTAACATTATTTGATAATTTTTTTTTATTAAGTGCTTAAACTTTTAACATTATTTTATCACTTGTATTTTTTACCCTATTTAATTGCTTTCAATTTTGCACTTCTCATTTGCCTTTTGTGTTCATATACAATTTAATTGCTTGCATTTTTGCACTATCTGATTACTTACATTTAACCATTGAAACAAATATTTTATACCGTCAAAACAAGTATTTAAAAAAAATATTTATATGATTTAATAATAGAACTATTTTCCTAAAAACTTTCTTTCCTTATTAACCATATTCTTAAGTATTTACACTTTTAAAAAGTTTTTCATTTATTAATTTTTCTTCACCGAAACGAAGAACTTGAGTTTTTCAATTAAAATGTGCGTCGAATGAATATCAACCAAAATACTTCAACCTATTAATTGTCTGCGCCCAACTTCTTCAAACCATAAAAGGTTTTTTTTCTTTCTGGACATTCTAAACGAGAAGAAAAGATTCGAAATGTAGAAAGTGTTTGAGAACGCAAACGAACTAAGAGTAATTATCGTTAGCGATTTTCAAGAGCTCCTTCAACATTCATTTTTCAGTGCGTATGTTTGTTGTTACACAGTTATAAGTGGAGGAAAAGGGGGGGAGATCTTTTTCTTTCTTTATCTGAAAAAATGGGTTTTCTTTAAGGTGAAAACTTTGCTGAAAGGCCATCATTTTCATTTTAATGAGATTCGTAATGTATAACTATTGAGTTTGTTTTCTTTTGGAAAAGTTTGTCAAAGAGAACACAAAAGATTTGTTGGAAGTCTGATGCTGAATCTCGGTTAATATTTTTATTTTGCTTTGGTTTATAAGTTATTAAGAAACGTGATTATTAATGGGGAATAACCTATTTAAAAGAATAACTGGATGTCAAGTTCATTGTATTGTTTATTAGGTAGAGTTGTTATGTAAATTACTTTAAATTAAAGAAAGTTTGTAGCCTTTTTAATGGAAAAAGTTTCTATTTATGCTTGTATTTTTAATGTGGTTTTGTTTTCTGTTTTCTGATTGGAAATTGTTGAAAAAAAATGGAAAGAAGTCAAGTAATAATAGCTTTACACGTGATAATGGCGAATATATTATTAGTAATTACTAATTTGAAACAAAAAAATTAACTTAAGTAATTTGTAATTAAAATACTCTTCTACACATTAAAAGCTTTCGCGTAGCTCTCCCCGATTGCGTAGCTCTGAAGTAATTACTCCATATTGAGTAATTCTGTTTAATTGCCAATTGAATTGATTTTTCAAATTTGTTCTTTTATAGTTTTATCAACAGCGCAATTGCACGCAAAAAAAACCATACAGAATATTTACTTAAAAACTTATAGTTTTCAATTCAATTTTTATTAATTGCTATTGTAAATGGAAAAAAGGACACCACTAGAAATGTTATTCGACTTGCCAAGTTCATTTTCAATCTAAATTCTCCATTGGAAGTGCATTCTCAAACTTGTAGTGATTGAAATACTTTCGGTTTGCTTTACCGGGTGTTGCAGAATGATTCAGTTGCTTTACCGGTTGTTGCAGAATGATTCAGTGGCGAATGGATGTTGAATAAAGAGACCATTTTAAATAATCAAATTTCATAATCAATACGACAATATGATAATACGAAGTAAGGCTTTCCAATAAGCCATCCCTCTTTTGGTGATTCAGAAATTCATAACACCGGGTGATAAAAAAAAATGGAAGATTTGAGAAAAATCAAGAAAAGAATACTTGCACTAGAACCGCGAAATTCTATTAACTTTGTTTTTTTAAACAGAAACTAAATTTTTGGTGCCATATATTTAACGATTAAAATAAATATCATAAAATGTATTTATATAATAGTAGTTTATGAAGTGAAAAATAAAGTACTACATAAAACCAAAGCTTTGATCATTGCTGGCGACAATAAAACTAAAAAATTCGATTGTTGATTTTGTTGTCGAGAAACAAATATTCTAAAATCGACTATTATTGAAAGCATTAAAAATTCAAGTTTATAATATGAAAATATAATACATAATAAATTATCTACTAAATTATAAAGTTTGTATACTTCAATTCATAGTATTCAACTTAAAATGTTCTAGAGCATCAGAAAACTAGAGTTATAGTCAATTATTACTCAAAAGCCTGACTAGAATACAGTTTTGAATTTCCTTTAGCCTAGGATATAAATTTTCATTTAGTTATCAACCTATGTCACGTGACTTCTGATTGTTGAGTGGACAGTTAAGATTGACATGCAAAGAACACGGTGGAAGTTAATTAATATGTTACATATCTCTGTGAATAATGTTAGCATTCATATAAAATTCAGCTGCTGGAAAAGCCAAAAGATTCTAAGTTAATAAACTCTTTTCTAGGCAAATAAAAAACACTATCAGTATAGCAGTGTCTAAAGGACACCATTCATAAATATATTCGAGAATGCATATATACCCTTTCCAAAGAAATTCGCCGCAAGCTTCGTCTTAAAATTAATCATAAACTGACGGGAATGAACTGAGCAGGAAATCACATGTCGAATGGCAATAAATTGATTATCTGTTCTATTCAGTGATGAGAAAAAAATGAAACTTAAATGGTGCTGACAGTTGTCACTCATGTTGGCATGACCTCACATATTATAACAGGAACAATTTGACTCTGCTCTTTAACGGATTACGCTAGTTAATCTGTAGATTAACTAGATAAAGTGCATATTATTGGCTTTTGAGCTTTAATGGAAACATATGTAATAGTAAAATCAATTACAATCATAAGAATTTATCTAATTATAATATTACTAATTTGGGGCCTGTCTTCAATAACACGGGATTATCAATTTTGATTCAATTCAAACTCTTTCTAATATTACAGCTTGTAAAAATAAATAAGAAAGTTTTATTAACATGCTTCCTGCAATACGTAATTGCTTTTCTCAGCAGCGGCATACGCTAGTTAATTTGCGGATTAGCTGGATAAAGTGCATATTAACGGCTTTTGAGCTATAGCGGTAAGATATGCAATAGTAAAATCAATTACAGTATTAAGAATTAATCTAATATTCTAATCTATATTACTAATTTGGATCTTATTTTCAATAACGCGTGATTACCAATTTTGATTCAATTCAAACTCTCTTAACAGAACTGCTTGTAAAAACAAATAAATTTTTATTAATATGCTTCCTGCAATACATAATTGCTTTTCTCAGCAACGGAATACGCTAGTTAATTTGCAGATTATCTGGATAAAGTATATATTAACGGCTTTAGAGGTATTAGATGCCATAGTAAAATCAATTACAATAATAAGAATTAATCAAATTTAAAGCCCGTTTTCAATGACGCGTGATTACCGTTTTTGATTCAAAACAAACTTTTTTTAACAGAACTTCTTGTAAAAATAAATAAGAAAGTTTTAATAATATGTTTCCTGCAGTACCTAATTGCTTTTCTCAGTGTCACGCGCTATCCATCAATTTCCAATGCATATTATATTATCATAGTGATTTACGCAATTCAGAACTTTATTATATGATAGATTACATTAGTATTGCTTAAGCATATATTCGCTGATAAAATTATTCCCTTAATTAATGTTATACATTCTTTTCCTGAGATGTCGATATTCTTTGCGGATATTTATTTTACTAACAAAGTTAGCCATGATCCATACTTCTCTGCTGAAATCATCGATCATAGGCTTGTCCCCTTTTATTTCAATCTATAACAATTCTGTTGGGATATCTGTCTTTCTAATAAACTCCAGACCTGTCAGTTGCAATTTCTGACTTTTGTTTTGGTGCCTGCCTTCTTTTCTTTTTCTCACGGATCAGTATATTGACGAGGAAATTGCACCAATTAAAGCTAATTATTGTACGAGGAAAGCTAATTCGATATTAAACTGTTGCTTTGCTGCTTGTCTCTTGATGTTATTTGATCATATATTATGTCTCTCGTGCTTAAAAATTCTGGGTCTTTTTTTCATGGTTTAGTTTACAGATTCTAAATGGGAAAGTATTTCTAGTTTTAGTTTGTGGTTAGATTTTTTGTACCGTAA